GGGTAACAGTCTTAATAGGGAATCTCAGCATATGCGCATCCCATATTCCTTTATGTTCCTTTATTTTCCCCGCCTTGTTTTACGCCTCAGAAATGGTACCTCTTGGCTTCCATAGCTCTGCCCATCAACCTCCATCACTTGGAGCGAGCTGCTTTCCCAGCGTCCTCTGTTCACCAGTAACCTCCCCCTCCCGCGTCCCCAGTCCGGTCTCCCTTCCCTTCTTCTCTGTTCGGTTTCCAGCTAACAGTCTCCCCCTCGGATCCCGGCGGAACTAAGGAGAGCTGGCTCAGTGGAGCCAGGCCTGTGCCTGGGGGGAGGGGAGAAAGCGATGTCAGGTGGAGACTTGGCGGCTGCTGCAGCCTCCTCAGGCATTGCCCTTCTCACTGCCCAAGCCTCCCCCTTTGATGCAGCTCAACCCCGACGAAGGTGTGCGCCCTGTAGGAGCTCCCGGACAGGAACAGTCGCCGCATGGGAGGCTGGCTGGACTGCCTGTTGGGAAGCCTGTGAGTCTTCTGGCACTTCTCCTTCCGCCGTGCAGGGAACCCAAGCTGCTCCTTCCCTTTGGGCCGGCTTCTCACCAGCCTCTCCGTGGGAGGCTCCTTGGCAACCCCTGTGAAAAGGTCGTTCAACCCCCAAAGAGGTCGCAACCCACAGGTTGAAAACCGCTGGCTTAGAGGAAGCTAAAAAGTGAAAGTGGTATTGCTGTTGATGCATATTTATTAACCAAGAACTCCTCAGTATGTAAAGTATGTGACCGCTGATAACCTATTCTTTTTCAAATGTAAAACAATTGTGTTTACTTAATTGTTATCTTCAGTAACGGTTATTTTCATGAACTCCTATTTGCAGAGTTCCCTTATTTTCTTAACATCAAACTTGCAAGTATATTCATGGTTTTTGTAAAGCAGTGAATAATGTTAAAGCAATTTAAATTTTATAAAATATGCAGTTATATTTTTTAAGCACTCAGGGACAGACTGTAGTTAAGGAAACAACATATATGTAAAAATACATTGTCATTTCATCAAATGTATTTAAAAGTGTCTTTGTCTCTAGCAGACACAAAGATGGTAATTGGAAAAAGGGCTAGGTTCCACCATGCATGTGTTTCAAAGGGAAAAACTATAGTGTGTACATGAATTTGCCTTTTATAAGTGACACATGGACATTCTGCTAAACATAATAAAGTATCTCATAAAGTTACCCTTAGATTAAAGATGGTTTTGAATAAATAGCTTGCTTGAATATTTTAATGTCGTGCAGGATTTTCTATAGATAATGAAATAAAATCCTGTCTTACAAATCCCTCTACTAAAAATAGACAATATTGCCTTTCTCTTTTTCCCCTTTGTATGGTTAAATGTTTCTTTGTTTAAACAAATATTCTGTCAGATGATATGCAGTAATACAATATCTTTTAAGCCTTGAAGTTGGCCCATGCTATATCAAGTAGTTGCAGCATTTCTATGTATGTGGTCAGTATGAATCAATTCCTTGATGGCATATAATCAATATGTTGTCAGATCTCAGTATTTATATTCTAAAATTTTACTTTGCAGTATATTGTTACGTTACATGGATTTTACCAGTTTTTTTGAGGAATTGTGTTTGTGTGTGTGTGTGTGTGTGTGTGTGTGTGTGTGTGTGTATGATCATAACATTCTTAACATATCATTA